TGTCTCTTGTTGTGTTTCCATCAGGGAGGAGGCTGCCGGTTCCTGCGCTATAATTGCTCCATTCGAGCTCCACGGAAGGGGTGGACCCTTATGCATCCAGGACGCCTGACCCACTACCACGAAGGTCTTCCAACCACCAAAGGAACGCGTTATATTGCAGTGTCCTTTCTTGACCCCTAGAGCCATGCCTCACAGGAAGGACCTTTCCCTGGCCCTGCTCACTGCTGACTTTGAGTGGAATCAGGGAATGCTGCTGAAAGTTTCTAAGGCATTGATCAAAGCTATTTGGATATTGATTTTTAATGATATTTTAAGACTCCACTACTGGAAGATCTCCCTCTCTGATACTGCAGGTGATATCTAGGAATATTGCTGTAGAATTCGGAAGGAGATATTGTGCCTTCATTTTTGATTCTGCTCCTCATCTGCTCTTTCTTGGAAGTGCAATTTACTTGAACCTTCAGCGATTGGTTGGCTTTACAAAAGTGCTTTCTTGGACTTGAAATCCAGCTTCTTGGAGGCAAGTCACAAGCTCTTTCTCCAGATAGCTGGAAGCTCGTTTTCATCCATGTATCCACATACACAGGACTGGACATTAGACAATAATTCCTGGATACTATTCCAAATATAAGCCAATCAGGGAGCAGACTCCAGGAGTCATAACAGATGTCGTACCAGATGAAACTCGGTAGTAAGAGCCTGGAGATCATCTGATTCCTTACCTCTGCAGTCCTTGGGACCATATCACTAAGTTCAGAGCAGTGGCAATGGCAATATAGGTGCTTCTGGTTAGCTAAAGGAAGGTCCAGTAATGATGCTTTACCTCTGGGATTAGACTGAAGAGGTAAAAGATTGCCTCCCTATCTTGTGTTATACCCAGACAGAATCAGTCCCTGTTGTGCAGATAAAATCTGAGGAAGGGAAGGCTGAGAACAACTAGATTAGCAGGAGGACTTCACTGTATCTGTTCTATCCCATTTTAAGATTGTCAAAAGCTCTCATCGATCTCTGGATAACAACCTAGAGATCCCAGTGGTCTTTGGTGGCCTCATTCCAGTTCTCAGATATTGTTTTGATTATTTTATTTGCATCTAATTTGAATGGGCCATCAAAGAGCTGTTTTCTAGTACTTGGGGGGTGTCATTATCAATTATTTGGGATTGTAAACCAAAACACTCCACTGCAGAATCTTGAATGGGAGGGTTGAATGTGATAGAAATGACCGGTTGGAAGGTGCTGAGAGATTATGGTGAACTGATAGGTGTAAAAATCTGTCCAGGCTAGACCCATGATTAGAGAGGGAAGAGGAGAAACCTTTTCTACTGTTGCCTGTAAGATACCTACTCAGCTCGCCACACACTGTTACACTCTGGGTCTGCCAGACCAGTCAGTATGTTTCACAAGCAGTAAATTCACACCACAACTGTCCGTAGGGAAAAATCCCAACTTTCCTTTTGTTCCTTGTGTCCCCAGCTTCTGTCTAATTGTAGATAAAAGAGCCTTTTTAGCTAGGATGGGTCATATTAAAGTAGGCAGAACAGCATTAGACATGTACGTTTTGGCAGGGAATCTTACAGGAGTTGCATGGACCTGAGGAATAACTAGGTTGGGAAAGGCCTTTTAAGATCAAGTCAAATCCTTAAGGAAGGCAGCATTGACCCTTTCCCGCTGTTTTCCATGCGCTTTTTGGGTCTGACTCAAGGCTGCGCACCCACGGGAGGAAAATCCAGGCAGGGGCAATCGGTTTGAAAGGTAAAACAGTAATAAATCGTGTTAGGTGACACCCAGAGCTCTCTGTAACCAAGCGAAGGGGCACAGGAGGGTGTCGAAAAGGTGTATGTATTTATTGAGCAGGATTGTTTTTTTTCACGTGGCTCGTTGTGTCTTTGCTCCGCCCGTGCCGCGCTGGGGGTTGCAGAGCCCGTTGTCGCTCGGTTGCGCGGTGCCGGCGCGGGGAACCCGCGTTACCCCCGCACCCGCGG